AGACTGTCATTGACAATCGGGAAGCTGCGTCGGGGATCATCGCCGACGAATTACGATATATGAAAACCAGCCTTAAAAGTTTCAACAATTGTGTCCTTGAGTCCAAATCTTTTCATCAACTCACTTGTATTTATTCTATCAGCTTGTTTCACTCCGCACATCTTTTGGACTACAAATCTTTCCGTTCTTCTCAAAATACCTTTCTCAACTGATCGTACCACCCACGTTTCCGATCCGTATGTCATAACAGGTATCAGACATGTCCTGTGGCTTCTACCATTCAGCTTCCAGGTGCCTTTTCCCACACAGCATAGGCGACATGGCGTTAAATGCCTTCCAGCATAGGCTTACTCCCCTTGTCACAGCTAGTTCACGGCACCTGGTCCCCACCACCATTTAGGCTGTCAATCAGGTAGGAAAGATTTTCAACTTTCTCCAACTCACCCAGTATGTCACTGCTGATTCCTGCTCCTCGTTTTCAGTCGTTCTTCTCGAATATACTGCACAAATAAAATGTACTTGAAGCTTTTTCTTGGGCAGCTGATAATTCTCTTTCTGCCATTGATATGTTTATATTTTTCAACAGCAATTTCAACCGGGTCCAGCAAATGGTCTGTCAAATTGAGTATGCATTCACCAGGGGCAATGTCCATTGTCTTTGTGATATTTGAAAAAAAATCATTAAGGATCTCAGCTATTTCACTGTCATTCGTAAACACCATCCCAACATTTGCAAGATTAAGGATAAGGTAAACCATTGCACATCCTTCGAATTTCAACCAATTACAATGCAGGCAGTCAATGATGAATTATCGAGACTAAATACAAAAAAAGTGTCTACAATTGAAAGTATTCCTCCGCGGATACTGAAAGAAAACGAAGACATTTTTGCACCATTACTGACGACAATTTTCAATAATTCATTGCTCCAGAAAACGTTTCCTGAAGATCTTAAATTAGGAGACATAACTCCACTTTTCAAAAGTGACAAAACTACAGAAAATAGAAACTATCGACCTATTACAGTTCTGTCCGCATAATCAAAAGTCTTTGAACGGCTTCTATATGCTCAGATGGTTGACTTCGCGGATACGTTCTTAGTTCCCTACTTATGTGGTTTTCGGAAAGGTTTCAACACACAGAATGCGCTGTTGAGATTAATGGATATTTGTAAGAATTCCCTAGATAAAAAAGGGTGGTTGGTGCCTTCCTAATGGATCTCTCAAAAGCGTTTGATTGCATAGACCATGAGCTATTAATTGCGAAATTAAATGCCTATGGTTTTTGTAAAGATGCTCAATTATTGATTTATAATTACCTGTCCGGTAGAAGACAAAGGGTAAAATTAAATGGTTCATTCAGCACTTGGCGAGAAACCTTTGCAGGTGTACCACAAGGATCAGTTCTTGGGCCTCTTCTATTTAATTTATATATTAATGATTTATTCTTAATGGTAACTGATACTGCAGTATGTAACTTTGCTGATGATACTACGATTTTCGCAGCTGACTGTCAATTGGATAAAGTTTTAGAACGGCTAGAAACTGATGCTCTTATTTTATCAAATGGTTTCCAGAAAACTTTCTAGCTACTGCCCCCTTAATTTGGATGTTCCATGACAGATGTCTGAATGCTAAAGTAAATAAAATCCACGAAAGAGCACTCAGAATTGTTTATATAGACAGTCATGCTGACTACGAAGCATTGCTGACTTTGGATAATGCAGTATCAATTCACCAACGCAATCTACAGTACTTGATGATAGAAATATACAAAACCAAACATAACCTGAACCCTAGTTTCATGAGTGAGATTTTTGAAACAAAAAATGTACATTATGATTTGCGAACTAAAAATAATCTTTACATTCCAAAAGCCAGGACAACTTCTTATGGTATAGAAACTGTGAGATATTTAGGTCAAAAACTGTGGCAAACACTACCTCACAGTATAAGAGAGTCCCAATCATTGGCAACATTTAAAAAAGAATTAAGAGCACACCCTATAGAATGTGACTGTGGATTGTGTAAAATATTTATTGCTGGGATAGGTTTTATTTAGAACATTATACCATAAACATTTTTAATATTGTAATGTTGCATAAACATTTTTAATATTGTATCATATATTTATTTAATACTAATTCTTTATAGATAGTTGGCCTTAATTAGCTTCTTTATAGCTATCAGACGTTCATTTAGTACGCCAACTTTAAACAAATTATTTATTATTATTTATATTATCATTATTATTGAAGATGGTGTCTGCGGGACCCAGCAACGTTTCCTTGCAATCATTCCTTCTATCCTTTATAGACCAAATAATTAACATTAGTGCCTCCTGTGAAGAAATATCAAATTTCTTCGAAATTTGTCTGGAGCCTTTGGAAAGCATATAATTTCTACAAAATTTTCCAGTAATATTCATCATCATCAGTTACTATCTTTTATCAGAAGGTAGTATCTTCTATCTTCTATCTTCTATCTTCTACCATGACCCTCCAACTATCCCAAAATCTGAGTTTTGGTTTGTTTCCATGGTCATAGATAAAACTAAGGGGCTAATAGTAGAGATGGGCCCCCAGAACCACCTCCCTCTTTCCAAGAGTTCTTCCGCCCGAAGCCGTTGACCCCTGGAGTCGTAGCTCATCCGCCCTCCTTGCCGGTCTCCCGCCGAGTTAGCCGTTGGCCATCGCTCGTAGCCCTGAGCTAGGGAGCCCTGCCAGGTGGTACCAGTCGGGTCAGGCTGGACCTGTAAGCTAGTAGAGGGAAGGGACGCTTTGATTCCCCATTCATGTCCTGTTGGAGCATGCAACTGCCCTGTAATATTCAACATCTTGGAAAACATCTAGAGACTAGATGCAACTGTTATCCTTGGTGAGATTGTCAAGGTAGTCATTACTTTATCCTAAGGAAGATGCGCTTTGCTTGATTCGGTTTTAATCCTTTTTAACCTCTTTTGTATAAGCTTGGAAAGTTGACGAGTCGATTCCTTCAATCAACTTTTCCTCTGATATCAAGAAATTTAAAAGGTAATAAGACAGAAATGCGATGAATACTAAATTGAAACTCATCTTGAAAGTACTAGAAATTTGATAGAATATACCAAACAAAACTTGATACCCTCGAACATAGAAGCGTCGGGTCGGATAATGTCCGGAAGTAAGCAGGAAATTTATATTCAGATGTGGGTTGATAGTAACGTTAGAGGAAGAATAGCGCGTTCAATTGGTTCTTTGTTGATAAGATCCCTGTCAGCAATGAGAAGATTGAGCTAATGTTAGATAGACGTAGCTTTTCCTTTGTTGGTCATAGAGACGTTTAGGTTTCAGAATCGACAGTGGTGATGACAAGCTTAAATACATACTTTTCAACTTTGCCCGCTCTTTGCATTGATGTTTGTCGGGAAGGCGCTATCATTCTATCCATTTGTCTGAGCCATTGAGAAAATTGCATCATATACCAATTTTGAAAGCCAACGACCCTTCAAAAAACGATGACTCATCTTCCCAACGATCAAAGTAAAACGGTTTTTAGAAACGCGCCCTGCCATCACCGAAAGACTCTTCACAACCATAGAAAACGAAGACGGTAGATTGGCCGAGCCTGAAGCCCACTTACTTGCAGCAGTTTGTACCAGTTATGACTTCATTCTAACCTTTATTTTTTTAAGAAAACAACTAAAGTTGCAAAAGAACAGCAACACATCAGTCAAAAAGACACACTTTGACTTACTGTAAAGTCTGAGTGGTGTTGTTTTGATCAGGAAATTCCTGCAGTGTACAAGACACCATATTGACCTCTACTATGCACACTAGTCAGATACTACCGTAGTATCAGCAGGCTTGTGAAATTTCTTGCAACAAAGATGATTCTAGAATTAAAGCTGAAAGAATCTGTCGCAAACAAACACACTGAGGATGACATCATCATTTATTTCTGTATCATCATCTTTTTTGCGACCTTTTGCGACCGTTTCTTAGGCAGCGACTGCACTGCAAGATATTTTTTTTTCATTAGCTTATGTGAAAGCTCCGTCCAGAGATTTTGTCGAAAAGATGATACAACAGTGCTTTTTTATATGAGCTCATCTCGTGTTCCCGAGAATCAATTTCAGGCGCGGGCAAATGCTGCTTTTGCTTCCAAAGCTAATCTTGTAATGGCCGAACGCCAAAGAGGAACATGAACTGTTTTCAAATTTTAGTTTAAAAAAATTTATTAGAATTTCAGATCAATCACAGGTAACTTGATCATTACTGCACTATTTGCAAAAAACATTATAATGTATTGCACGAAATAAATGTATTCGTATGAATTGCTCAGTAGGTTTTCAGGCCGAAGATTTTTCCATAAACTGCGCAAACGCAATGAAAACTGACTGAGGCAACAGAAATCAAGTGATCACTGAATCTGTGTTTCATTCACAAAACAAAGCGAACGAAATTGGTAAATCCTTTAAACGAGAGTTGGTCAGGAAAGATTTTTACCAACAGTTTTTTCTTTGCTAATAGATAATAGATAAGATCTTTAAACTTAACTTTTAATATTTCCTAACTTCGACTTTTTGATATTTTCTTTTTTCAAAACCAATTTTGAGTAGCAATTCGTATAAACTTATGCAAAAAATTCAGGTTTTAAAAGTCATTTTATCAAATGCAATTTTTAATATACCGTTATTTCACATTTATGCTTATTTCCCTGTTTGCTTGTTATCATGAGAAACAGAAAATTACTGTCTGAAATATGTGAAGAAAACCTCCTGTGAGCCATCCTTATAAATCAGGTGCATTTTGAGTAAAATGTCAAACAAAGTTCAAACTCTTGGCAAACAAATCACTGATGTTATAAAAAATTATTTCAGGGTTCTATAGAAAGCAAGCTGAAATATTGTCCGATTATAAGGAATCAAATGCAAACAAGGTGTCAAAACAATAAAAGGAACTTTCAAGTTGCAAATCTCGATAAAACTAGATGACACATTATTCCTTGATCCCTGTAAAGTAATGTAGCTTTTTGGTTTAGCTTTACAACAATAAGAAACTGATTTTCTGGTCACAGTGCAGCCTGACAATTTCGCAAGTACACCTGTTCAGAAAATATTTGATACCCCCTGTTATAGAAGCTATTAGCAAAGCAGGTTTTGTCGTAGACTCAGATATAGCTTCCCCGCTGCCCGAGTAACAGAATTAAGCAAACCTCTGGAATACTGGTCGATGCTGCCACCAACACAGTTCAGTTTTAAGCTGTTCAGTTGCTGGATTTCCAGTCATTCCTGTAGTGCTTGAATACACCAATGAAACAAAGTCGAGCAAAGGTTAGTCAATTTTGCAGGTTAAAGTCAATGTGGGACATTTAGGGTATACTGTATCATAGCCAATATTTATAACAACAATACTGATAATACTCTGTGTTTATGATACAATCTAAACTATGATATATATCTTACATGTGTATTACCGATTCTTGATCTCTTTAAATATGTTTACAAAACTCGTATTAAATTTCACATCAAGATTTATCTTTTAGCTAGAAATTATTTTAAATAAAACAATTTTGTCATAGTAACAAAAAACTTTGCCTGATTCGCAGTTTTAAATAGCAAAGATAACTATTCTATTCTAAATGAATCAATTCAAGGTTATAATGAATTTCCGGCTTAAGATATCTAAAAACTTTAAATTGTGTGCTTAAGTTAGTTGCAAAACTAAGCACCATGACGAATTTCCTGCTTATTTGTAATTTTTTTCTTCTAGTACCTTTCTTTAGTTGAAGAAATTTTTTGATCTTAGATTTCCCTAGAAGTTGGGGATTTCTAGGGACACTTTTTCTTTATAAGAACAATTTCATAAAAACTCGAGCCTCAAAGTTGGTTAGATGTCAAGAACAAACTGAAAACAAGCTGAGGCTGACATACCGTAAATTGCAATTTTGAACAATGTTTTGAAACATCCTTAAAATCGTTAGCTTAAAAACGAGGAATTTCTTCACCTAGGCTCGCCTTTTCGGTGAAATTTCAAAGTTGTCGACAAAAAGGATACCCCACTCACTTTGTTAGCAAGAGAGGCCTGAACACCTCCATAGAGCAAAAAAGATAGCAGTTGCACAGTTCACGTCTAAATAATTAAAGAACAAATTAATAACAATCCATTCTTTTGTTTTTATAAAAATTTTAGAGCAGCCAGCCTGAGCTTCAATTTGCTGAATTTCACAAAGAAGAGTGTAACACTTCACAAAAACTATCCAAATATTTCTTAATCTACTAGCGTTCTTTTCCAAAAGTATATTACGCAAAACATTGATTATTTTTATATGCTTTAAGCCGGATAAAGAACGTCATTTACCTGTTGAAAAATTTATTTCTCAAAAAAGTACAGGAAATTGAGCAGTAGCCAAGCTCGTTTTACGCTTTACGGAACAGGAATCATACTCGCCGAATAAGAAAAAATTTAAGTTTTGTTTTCCTCGTTCTGAGCTTCCTTCTAAGTTCTCCGTAGGGCTCCATAGGCTAGCTGAAAGTCAGATGAGACGCATCAAAGCTACCATTGTGTTTAGTAGTGCACAAAAATTAGCTTAATTTTTTGAACTTATACATTAATGTTTCTTACAACTAGTATTAAGATGGATATACAGTCCATTTTATCATTTTTAGACAACTGCAGTCGATTCCACTTGAATATAAACTTTAAATACATTCTAACACGTGCATAGACAAGATACGAAATCCGACTTAGTGAAAGTACTAAATAACAAGAAATGAAGCATCGCAAAATACGATCTGCATTCACGCTCAGAACCTAAAAACAGCATGTTCGGTAACTGGTAACTGACCATGTATTTCTCAATTATTTCATTGTTATGAAAATATGTTTTCAAAATTACAATCTAAGTACTTATAGGTTCAAAACAGATTTAACATACACAAACATGACATTTATAAACCCACTTTTGATACCGACCCGCTCAAATAAAATTGAAAGCTTTTATCCCGAATGAACTGACGCAAATAAATTATTGTCAAAGAAATCCGACTTATGCAATTCCGACTTTTACGAGTCTGACTTATGCGATTCCGACTTTAAAGAGTCCGACTTATGCGATTCCGACTTTAAAGAGTCCGACTTATGCGATTCCGACTTTAAAGAGTCCGACTTATACGGGTCCTAATTATGTAATTCCGTCGAACTTATGTAAGTTTCCTTCATTTTTCATTTTTTTATTTCATTTTACCCATAGTTAAAGTTGGTATTTTACAATAGTAATTATATGGATACCAATTCAAACCAACTTTTTACAAAAAAATACAAAATACTTTATAAAAAGCAATTAGCGGCATAATTTGCAGGTGCATTTATCGCCAGCCAGGCTTTGATCCAACTTTTTGAAAGCCGGAAGAGTTGGTTCATTTTTAACACTGTCATCTGGGGGTATTTCAAAGTAGATTCTCTCTAAGAAACTGTGATTCTTGCCCATATTTTCCTGTGTCCGATGTGCCCGATTCTTCAAGTGTCTTAATTAGTGGCAGTTTACAGAGATTTTGTATCCTTAGGTTATAATTTACATTCTCTTTTAATTAAATTCCCGTATAATCGATGGGTTAAGATGATTCATGGACTTGTAGACTTCTGTCATCAATTACTGCAAGTTTCTAACATGTATACATAAACTGCCACTTCGAATGAGTAACGTTTCAAAGGAACACTTGTAATCTTTATAGAGGATCTGAAGAGCACGTTTATGTGTGCGGTGAATCTCTTTGTTGCAGAATAGCCAGATCAAAGGGCAATAATTGAAGTTCGACAAGATAACCATGTATTTAGCTTAGGAAGGCAGTGATTTTTTTGTTGACTTTTGAGCATAACGTTTTAACGTGATTGCTGAATTTTAATTTTTTGCCAATTTCAATCCCTAGCAATTTAACATGATCTGTTGCAGACATTTTGTTCTCACTTATGTTAATTTGTAGTCCTCTCTGCCCTTTCAAGATTAGCTGGGTTTTTTAGTTTGCAACCATGCCATTATTTGCAAACCATTCTAGCAATCTACTTAGATCACTTTCCAAATAGGTGACAATTTCATGTAGATCTGGCCCACATGAGTATATGGCGTTATCATCCGCGCAATTACAGATTTCTGAGTCTAATGTCATGAGGCATTGATCATTGATGAATATGGTAAAGAGCAAAGAACCTAGGACGGACCCCTGTGGTACTCCACTTCTTGCGGTACTTTTATGTTAACCAACCTTTCCCCTTTGACAGCGGCAATCCAGATAGCTATACATTAGGCAAAGGCTATTGAAATCAAATTCATACGCCTCCAGTTTTGGGGTGAGGAGGTCGAGAGACAGGCAGTCGTAGGCCTTGGATAAATCCATCAGAATTGCTTCTACACTTTGTCTTTTTAAAACTATTAAGGCTGTTTGATTTACATAATAATAATATCAATAACTATAACTGCACAGGTCATTTAGAAAGCTTATCCTGTTTTGATATTCCCAATTATGAAAAAACACTAATATGGAGTTAAAGACCATCAAGCAACTTAAACTTGCAAAACTAGAATGAGTTTTATCCAGACAATTTTATGTAACCAAGAAAAATGTTATCCATTTGCTGAAAACTCCTTAGTAGCTCTTCGAATTGAGATTATTTAAAAATTAACGATGAATTTTGGCACAATGCCTTCAGAAGAAGTCAGTTTGTTTTGTTGCAACTTTCTAGTTGTCCAAAAATTATATTAGCATTTGAATAATTTCTATACCTGGAAAGCTTTAGCCACCCGTAGAAAGGGGCTTCGCCAAAAGGGGAACAGGGGATCAAACCCCCACGCTTTTAAAAATATTGCTCTATTATTGATAACCAAACAGTTTCTACTCTGTAGAAGCAGATTAAAATAAAGATTTTACAGAATTTTAAAGAGCAAAATACCTGGTAGAAATTTTAAAAAAGATTTCAAAAGTACCTTTAAAAACACAATGGACACGGAACTATGAAGTACCATTACCACAAAATTCCAGCTAATTTATTTTGTTAAAATAGTGCCTCTCTTTTCTTAAAGTAGTGCGCTGAAGTTATGAAATGGTGCTCTGGTCTTTCAAAATTGTGCCTTGTTTTATAAAATCGTAACCTTATTTTTTAAAATGGTGCTCCACTTTAATAGCCTCTTTTTTCCAAATGGTGAGTTTATTCTTTTTTATATGGTAACATTTATTTCTTTGAACTTGTGCTTCAAAATGGAGCTAATTATCATTCAGAGGTCTGGGTTCGAATGTCATTTCATCCCATGTGGCAAACAGCAACGTTATTAGGGAAGAGGTTTGGTTTAAAAATGGCAAAAAATCATTCCATTGCATGTGCCAAATAAACCAGTGGAATGACGTATTACCAACAAAGAAAGATGGAAGAGGGAGCAACCTCGGACTTAGCAAATGCTGCTCGTCTTTTGAATCGAGTCTTTAAGAGGCTTTCCTCCCAAAACAGTGGTGGCAACTGTGGTGTAGAGTGCAAAGTAAATCTGTTAGAGTTGAAGGTGCAAGCAAAGTTTTTGGAAAACTATGCACGATGCTCTCTCTACATTTTGGGCCTAGGTTTGTGGTCACATCATCTAATGATTGATCCCAACCACAAGCATCGTAAGGTTAAGGAGAAAAGAGATTTGAGACTCCACTTTAAAGGTGTAGCACTATTTTAGAAAGTAACGTCACAATTTTAATAATTCGGTCACTATGCTATAAAACCAAACCACCATTTTACGCGCACGAATTTAAGAAAAGAGGACCACAATTTTGACAAAAAGAATGAGGCGAATTTTGGCGGTAGGTCTGGATTTAAGCAATCTTATTTCTATTGAAGATTGCTAGAAAGCAATTAATACTCTTCTAAATTTTGACCTTAAACTTATTTTTTATAACGTGAAAACTGAATTAATTTAAGTACATATTATTATTCCTAAAATGAGTGCTGCCCTTGCAAGAGCACCCCTCCTTTGAATGAGTGACCTCTCCCTTTTCTCCCACCCCCCCTCCCCCCTCACACAAATAAGATTCTACAATTTTATTGATAAAGTAAAACGATATGTAGTCTAAATATCAATCTTTTACCTTAGATACAGCAATCTAGCTGTTTTTAAACATAAGCGATGCGTTCAGTAGCGGATTCAGACCGGGTTCTAGGGATTTGGAACCCTGTCAAATTTTCCTAAGACACATAACACCAGTTTTCCCTTTACAACGTGTCCCATCGGCAAATGGGCTCTTGTACCGCAAACTTTGCTGCCCTTTAAGTATGGTATTGTGAAAGAAAGGAACCCTGTCGT